AGCTGGTTATAGTAAATTCCTGGCATCCTACTGCTTGTAATTCTTCCTTAAGAATCCTCCTTTCTCTTTCATATATCTTGCATATCTTCATAACATGCTCTACAGTCTCCTCTATTAAACAGACATCACATAGACCCGTGTTATGCTTCCCTATAATGTGTAAAGTATGATTTAGATTTGAATGTCCTGTAGATGTGTAAAATAACTTGTTCTCTTCTACTTAAGCAGTGAATGATTTAGCTTTTCTTCATGCTTCTTTGACTCGTGTAACAGTGTCGATCTGTATGACACGAGTGTCTGTCGTTTCCTAGATCTGTTCTCCTTCTGATCTACTGAGTGAAGCGTTTATGTTTGGTTCTTTCATCTTTACTGAATCTTTGGCTATTTTGTCAGCCCCCTCATTACCTTGAATTCCCAGTGTGCTGGTGCCCACATAAATCACATTATTATTCTCATCTGTCCTAAACTATAACCTAATCATGATTTCTGTTCAAATGTCAGTTCTATTTGTTTCCAATGATTGTAAACTCGTAAGGACTGCCACTGAATCAGAACATATTATACTTGATCAGGTCTAACTTCATACACGCACTCTAGTGCCATTAAAACAGCTCTCATCTCAGCTGTATATACTGATGCACCATCTGTTATCCTTCCTCAAACTCTTCCTCTTCCTCAAACTCTGTCCTTCCAGTGTCTTTACTCTGGGACCCGTCTGTATGTATTTGAAGAAATGAGTAGTGTGAGTTCCTTATACTCATTTACATATGTAATTAAACTAGCCGCTGCATTCATTTCCCTTCTGTTCTCATGTAATGTTATGTCTATTTCAGGTTGGGCTAGTATCCAGGGTGGAATTGGGGATATTACCACTATTGGGTTATTGATATTGATATTGAGAATTTAAATCCCCATTCTAATGACCATTTTTCAACTACTTCTATAGCTTCTTGAATTTTATTCATATTAAAAGACTTTAATATAAAATCTATATGGTCCTTCCATGATAATTTGTCATCAAACCATAATCCTAGATACTTAAATTTTGACACTTTCTCTAAAGAAGTCCCATATAATTTAAGCAGTTTATTCTCTTTAATTTTCTTCCTTGTAAATATCTGGTAACATGTTTTAGATATTGAGAATTTAAATCCCCATTCTAACGACCATTTTTCAACTACTTCTATAGCTTCTTGAATTTTATTCATATTAAAATATATATTCCTTCCTCTTTTCCACATTATACCATCGTCTGCATATAACCCAGTGCTAATACCCGGAGCCACTTTTCCAAATATATCATTAACCATTATATGAAATAATACAGGACTGATCACACTTCCCTGAGGCGATCCATTTTCCACATTTAGAGTCTGAGATACTTCACCAGCCACTTTAACTTGAATTGCCCGGAGCCACTTTTCCAAATATATCATTAATCATTATATTAAATAATACAGGACTAATCACATTTCCCTGAGGTGTTCCGTTTTCCACACTTAGAGTTTGAGATACTTCACCACCCACTTTAACTTGAATTGTTCTGTCAAATAAAAAACTTAAAACCCAATTATACATTCTTCCTTCTACTCCAATACTCTTCATTTTAATAAGTAATCCCTGCTTCCACAACATGTCACATGCTTTTCCATATCAGAGTAAACTGCCACGAATCCCTCTTTAACTGCTATAGCTTAACAAATCTAACTTAGTTTCTCTGTACACTTATCAATATCATCCTCTGTACTATAGCTCATTAATTCTAACTCACATACTGTATTTTATTATACTTCTCCCAACCAGCTTTCTCTAATGTCCATCTATGTTGTTTTACCATCATACTCCTTCGCATGTCTGACCCTACCGTGCTCTAACACCTCCCATTGACATTTCTCTGCCATTGATGCTGAAATTATGGTTAGGTCTGCGCATGATTTTATTTGTTTTGCCCACTACCATCATTTAAGCATACCGATACATTGTCTTCCATGTATTCTTCCACCACTGTGCCATTTTTATCTGAGTTTGAGACTCATTTTTACCCTGAGTCTGGGGAGGGCCACGGATCTGGTTTCATATAATATCCTATACCGTGATAAAGGCTATGTCGATTAGCATTGCATTACAAATATACATTCTGCATATAAAAAAATACCCGTGATGACTTGAAGAACAGAGATACACCATTTAGTCACAATCGTATGTTTATTGTCTTCATTCTTCACTGCCACGAATCCCTCTTTAACTGCTATAGCTTAACAAATCTAACTTAGTTTCTCTGTACACTTATCAATATCATCCTCTGTACTATAGCTCATTAATTCTAACTCACATACTGTATTTTATTATACTTCTCCCAACCAGCTTTCTCTAATGTCCATCTATGTTGTTTTACCATCATACTCCTTCGCATGTCTGACCCTACCGTGCTCTAACACCTCCCATTGACATTTCTCTGCCATTGATGCTGAAATTATGGTTAGGTCTGCGCATGATTTTATTTGTTTTGCCCACTACCATCATTTAAGCATACCGATACATTGTCTTCCATGTATTCTTCCACCACTGTGCCATTTTTATCTGAGTTTGAGACTCATTTTTACCCTGAGTCTGGGGAGGGCCACGGATCTGGTTTCATATAATATCCTATACCGTGATAAAGGCTATGTCGATTAGCATTGCATTACAAATATACATTCTGCATATAAAAAAATACCCGTGATGACTTGAAGAACAGAGATACACCATTTAGTCACAATCGTATGTTTATTGTCTTCATTCTTCATCAGTTAAAACGTCCTATCTGTGTTTTATTCAGCTACTGCAGCGGTAGCATATTCCTTTGTCCATATTAGGGATTTCCTCCAACTGATTTTTGTGAGTATTTCATTTTGTGATTTTTTCACTTATGGTTTTACTGCAGGAGGGCGCCCTCTGGCTACCAGTATGAATGAAGCAGCTACAGCTACTCACTACACCTTATTTTGGGTAAAAATAGGGAAAACAATACTTCTCTCTACGTTTGTCTCCAGTGTAGAGGAGTTTTCTCTCTCTCTCTCTCTCTCTCAGTGTGCATAAAATTAAAACATTACTGTCAATGATTTTTAATCATAATCATTTATAATAAATCCTTAGACCTTTCTAAACAATTATAGGCTAGTTATATGCCTGCAGTTTTAATAATAATTATTATTATAATATAATAATATAAATAATTATCATGATCAATATTACTTTGTTTAATGTTTTTATTGAGTTATAACTATAATCAGAATTATTAGTAGTCATATTGATATATAAAACAACAATTATTTGGGCCAAATTGTGCAGCCCTACAAACAGACACAGCAAACGTAGTGTTCAAATAAAGAAAACGTTTATCTGGAAACGTTTCTAGTTACAGTTCAGATTTTGGAATTGAAAGAATGATAGAGAGATTAAAGTGAAATTGTGGTAGAAATGGACTCCAAACGGTATCTTTATGGAGCGAAAAAAAGATGTTCTGACTGCTATACATAATATTTATTGCTGTGGTATTAGTATTATTTTTTATTTATGCATTTAGCAGACGCTTTTATCCAAAGCGACTTACAGTGCATTCAGGCTATACATTTTTTACCAGTATGTGTGTTCCCTGGGAATCGAACCCATGACCTTTTGCGCTGCTAACACAATGCTCTACCACTGAGCCACAAGAACACAGTATTAGTATTAGTTTTATAAATGCAATGATGCCCACGGTCACAGACTTGTTATGAAGGAAAATTGAGCCATTTCAGTGTGTTACCTTAACTAATTACAGACCTGGCTCCAGAATCAATCACTGAGGTTGCTTCTGAAACTAGTGAGGGTGATCTAACCTTAATATTATATACTGTATATATATATATGGCCTATCCACAATATTGTTGTGCCATTCATTGCTATGGAGCAAAGAGTGTTCCTTTATAATCACTAAAAAGCTGTGACTCACTTTAGTTCATCATGATCTCACAGTTACGTTATAATCAGTGAATGTAGAACTCAACACTGATGTTTATTTTGTTTATGCTCTGTTCATTTTATTTAGTTTTTGTGTATAATTCATTTATATTTAATTTTATACATTTGTGTTTCATGAATATCAATTTATTTTCATTTTTCAAGCTCACTTGCACTTCAGTTTTGTTAACCGGTTTAAATATTTTTACATATGCAAGTTGGATGTTACACTTAATACACATTTATGCTTAATTATTGAAATTGCCATTTTATGTGCTTTCTCTTTACTCGTCAAATTGCTATGACAATATTAACACTAGTGGGGCCTATTTTCATTATCCATCACAAGCCATACTACACTATGTGCATTAAAGTCACCGCACCATATCACTATACCTTCTTCTTTACTCCAAATGTTATTTAATTGCATTAAAGATATTTGTTCACAGGGATTGTAGTAATTTATTATTGCTACTTTTCCTAATGTTGTCCACACTTCCACCTTAATGCATTCATATTGTGTTCCTACCTTTACTTCCCCATTCTTTATAAACGTTGCACACTCTCCATCTGTTGCTCTTGATCTATATTTCCTAATGGATAAATACCCTGGAATGACGAAGTCTGATTGAGATTTAAGCCATTTGCTGACCATAAGCATACTTGCATCTATATTTGTTTTATACCTCTCTGTTCCCTTGTTT